TGTACTAGTAGTCTAATACTCCATAGTGCCTTGTCACTTTTCCCTGCGCTACTTTAGGAACAGCACTGTTATATAGAACCCAACAGTGAATGGTTGAGTGGGGAATCCTACCTATGCATTATAATTATTAAAATAATAATAATAATAAGTTTTATTGTCTAACAGAATTCAATCCATTAATAAGACAATTCAGATAAGAATATTAAGAAAATATACAATGTAATTAAAAAAATACGCGTGGCACTCGGGGACAGCCACGGTAAAGCTATTGCATAGCATTTTTTTATCAACTTATGCAATTATAATTATTTATTTTATTTGTGCAGTGTTTTTTTCTTTGATATTAATTCAAGTTACACTTTTTGAGCGTGGCGACCGAAAAGAAAACAATTTTTTTCTTTTATTGAATAAATGAGAAGTTAATATTGTTTAAAATATTTTTATTATCTTACAATACATGTAGATTATTCAAGAATTTTATCATTGAAACTATAGGTTTATGGTAACTGAAATAAGAAACATAAGTTTGAGACCTGATATCCTCTAAATATCTGGAAAATACCGCGTGAATGGTGGTCCCATATTTTGTTGTGGATTCTTGTGGATCATTATTCATTTTCAAATTCAATTTTTCCGAAATTGTGTCTAAAAGAGATAGAATCAGTTATAAGCAGTTAGCAGCTAGTCTACACGCATACGTCTAGTCGCACGCACACAAACATCGTGCCGAAGTCTGCCGAACTGAAACGATGCACGGCTTTCAACGCCGCACCGCTGTGCCGGTCGGTGTGGGGGGGGTGTTAGGTTTATTTTCGTTACGGAATTTCTTTTTCGATTTTACGATTTTTTTGATTTTTCCATTTTTTTGATTTTTCGAAATTTCGGTTTTTCGATTTTTCGAGGGTGTTAGGTTTATTTTCGTTACGGAATTTCTTGATTCGGTCGCCGCGCTCGAAGCCAGCGATAAAAGCTATGCAATAGCTTAAAAATATTAGTTTATAAATCAATGAACATTTGATAAGATACAACCCGCAAAGTTTATTGAGTAAATAAGATATTTTTCACTGACTTACTAAAACTACATAAACTTTGATTGAATATATCAATATGTGGCCTAATTTTGTTTAATTCCCTACTAAGGTTGCCACCTTTTTGAAAAGTGAATAAAGGACTACGATGCTGACAGGGGCTCCGGTATACAAAAAGTCCTCATCCTTCTACTGAACTTCCAAAAGTCGCCGAATAAAAAAAAATCCTCGTAATTTAACCGAGCTTCTAAAAAAAACATGTCCCTTTCAAAGATATGTGCTGCAAAAAAAACGACATTTGCCGTAAAAAAGGACATTTTTTAAGCTTTAAAAAGTCACAAGGACATTTTGCTTCAGAAAAGGACTGTCCTTTTCAAAAAAGGACAGGTGGCAACCCTATTCCCCAGTAGTATGTAAAGTGCCGCTCCTGTCTCAAGTTCGATCTCAAATCGAGCACTTACAGTTTTAGTATATAAAAACAGAATTTGAAGAAATCCTGGTATCGAAAACGAAGGTTGAGAGAGAGTTGAAGTTCAAAGAATATTGATAATGAAGATAAGCTGAAATATGAAGAATTTGATATAAACTCAAGAAAAGTCTATGTCGTGCATGTGCTTATCATTCTTTAGATTGATAAAGCCTTTATAAGTTATATTAGTAGAGTTTTCGTTTAATTTTTTTAAATCGTGTTTATTTATAAGTTTAGTATATCTATCAGGTAAAGTAATTTTGAATGTATCATCTAAAACACAAATAATTTTTGTACCAAATTTGGTATCTAAAATTTCAAAATCAGTAGCCTTAAATTTTTTATTCAGTTCAAGCTCAGTTAGTTTTACAAACTCGTATGAGCGGTTTAGTTTTTTGAATAGCGATTCCATTTTGCTTTATGTTTATAAGAGAAAAAATTTAAGAAAGTAAACGTATATAAATAAAAGAAAATATTTAGATTCTTACTTTCTGTTTTTATATACTAAAACTGCACGTGCTCGATTTGAGATCGAACTTGAGACAGGAGCGGCACTTTACATACTACTTTCCCCAGACAGCACACCAAATCCTTTGGATATCTACTGCACATCCCAATATCCACTGAATGTCCAGTCCATGATGGATATCTATTTTGTATCCATGATATGTAATTTATAGACATGCAAATGTCCATAAATAATAGTAATTATATAGCAAATTACGCTATTGTGTTCGCCATTGTGGCTAATAGTACCGTTCAGATATTTAAAATTAATTTTTTTAAGGTGTAATTAATATCCCATGGACATCCACTAAATATATCAAAGTCTAGGCGCGAACGCAAACCATCGTGGATATCCACTAAGGCAGGTACAGATCTGAGCACGTACGCGTATGAGGCAAGCCGAGGCCGAATTGAATGCCTCGTGCGGCGCATTTTGTATACACAAATGGTGGACGCCCGAGGCGCTGTTCGCCACTGATCCAGTAAATTCGCGAGCACGCAACCGTATACCCAGAACATTCGTAAAATTAAAACAAAAATGAAGGATGAGGATGGCGTCGCGGAGTTGAGTGCATGTTTTATTATTTTATCCGACACATTAAAGAAAAAAGGAGAGACAAAAATTGATGGTCGATTTTCTGACAAGGATATTCTTTTTATGGTGTTGTAATAGAATTGGCGCTTTGCTCTCTTAAGATATCATGCTGATTATTTAAATCCAGGAGAAATAAAACGTTTTCCTGGCTCCACTTCATGCAAAATAAATTCCTAACACTCGCTATAATTAATCTGTACGATGCTGTATGGTACAAATTCCCCGTCCAGACTGAGCACGTACTGTGCATTGCCTCCCTTTGATGTACCGCCAACAAACGGATCGCGGCGAGGCCGTACGGCATACACAGCGAGGCAATTTGCCGCGCCTCGGAAGCCCGTCTACATCTGCATGCTCATGCATCCTCAGCTTGCCTCATACGCGTACGTGCTCAGATCTGTACCCGCCTTAAGATGATTTTGCTTACTAAGTATAGATGGCGATACCACTTTCGCATCTACTCATGCTCGACCCGCCGTAATTGAGTTCGATCGAAATTTGTGTCCTAATCAGACTCCATTGGAGACTGGAGTCGAGAATTTCCATTTATTGCTGAAGAGTCCTAATAAGGATGACTTTCTCCTTAGTGGGCAAAATCAAAGGCAGAGTGTTGAAAATATTTTGAGTGTTGAAAATATTTTTTATCTCTGCTATTTTCTTTCGACGTTATTCAATAATCATTGGTTACTTATGAACCTCTACTAAAGATACCCATAAAATATTTTGCTGAATATCCGAATATCTTCTATATCCTGGGATATAGACGGACATTTGGTTGGATATCCATATTGGATATATTGAATATCCACAAAATATATTATGTGGATATCTCTGGAATTTCTTGTATTTTCTGGAAGATACCCAGTAGATATTTTGCTGGATATCCATTAGGATATCTTCTATATTCTGGATATAGACGGACATTTGGATATCCATATTAGATCCACGGAATATTTCTGATATCCTGTGGATATATTGGATATCCACAAAAGATATTCTGTGGATCTCTGGGATTTGGTGTGTTGTCTGGGTCCCTACACATGATATGTAAAGGCGGTTTTAACATGATACTAGTACTTACAGTGGGTATGCAGAAAATATTTTTGGATCTGGTATTTAAGGGAACAAAAATTTAATTGGTATAATAAATGACAACAATATTTTCAATAAATCTATCGCTACAGGTGAGTTTCCAGATTATTGGAAACTGTCTTATGTTGCCCCAATATACAAATCGGGTAGCAAGTCAGACGTCAAAAATTACCGACCTATATCTATTCTCAGTACTATACCTAAGGTTTTTGAGAACATTATAACAGACTTCCTTACCTATGACTGCTCTGGCATCATAACGGATCATCAATATGGTTTTTGTGCTGGGAAATCGACTAAATTAAATATAGTTACCTACGTCGACTTCCTGTCGGAAGCTTTGGAGATGGGTTGCCAGATTGATTCTGTGTACACTGACTTTTCTAAGGCTTTTGACAGGGTTAACCATTCTCTCTTACTTCAAAAACTCGATAAATATGGTATAAATAGGGTCTTACTGCAATGGATTAGTAGCTATCTTACGAACAGAACTCAAATGGTTAGAGCAAACCATTACTATTCTAACTCATTTCAAGTTACCTCAGGTGTTCCTCAAGGATCACACCTTGGTCCCTTATTATTCAACTTATTTATAAATGACATTCGTTGTTTTCAGCATGGCAAAGCACTATTGTTTGCAGATGATTTAAACGTTTTCCTAACTATTAAAACCATATATGATGCCCTCTGGCTTCAGTCTGACCTTGATTATCTATCAAACTGGTGTTCCTTAATGGCATGGATTTGAATGCTATAAAGTGCCATGTCATGCGCTTTTATCGATCCCATGTACCAACTATTACTTTTGATTATAACTTAAATGGTCATATCTTGGAGTCTGTTAATCAAATTAAAGACCTTGGAGTTATTCTAGATCCCACTTTAAGCTTCAATCAACACATACCTAAGGCTATCCACAAATCCATGAAAATGTTAGGTTTTATCAAAAGGCTAACACATGATTTTACTGACACAATTGCAATTAAAGTCCTTTATTGTTTACTAGTCCGACCTCACCTAGATTATTGCTCTTCTGTCTGGTCTCCACATTACATAACTCACAGCAGAAACATAGAAAATGTGCAACATAAATTTCTTAGATACATAGCCTATAAATTGGGTGTCCCTTGCGAGTATGATTTGATAGAGAATTTTCTAAACATCCCCTCTTTGGAAACTAGGAGGAAACAGAGAGACCTGACATTACTTTTTAAAATTATCAATGGCAGATGCAGCTGTACTGAACTTCTAAAGCCTTGGTTTCTTTGAACACTCCGTCGCGGTGAGCGGACAGTCCGTCAACCGCTGAGGACAGCAATTTTCGCCCGAGGTGGTTTGTTAAAAAATATAGAAAATGATACTTTCTCTAGGTCTGTACGTGCTGTTTATGTATTATGAATGTAAACGAAAGGTACTAAAATGGATGCAAATAAATTGTTTGCGTTGTTATTATTGTTGGAAGAGGAAGAACAAGAGGAACTGGCAATTGCAACCGTCAAAGTTTCCAATAAGCCAGTGGATGAGTTGTTTTTGTGTCGCGATATAGAAGGTGCCTTTAATATCATTGTGCAGCTGAGGTTTTTTGGAAATGAAACCAAATTTAGGGAGTATTTTAGACTTTCTACAGATCTTTTTGAATTCGTGTTGAGTTTTATAAAGGACATAATTTCCAAGAAATCTAAAAATAAAGTCATGATGTCATTTGTATGTGTGAATTTGTCACCCATTGTTTTAAAATTAATAACAATATAGTCTCCGCACACGCCGACGATTCCGCTGATATCAAACTCAACAGATATCAACCGACTCTTCGCGACAAATCAGCGGCATGACGCCGTCCTGCTCAGCTAAGTGGATTCAAGAAAACCATTCCCATTTAAATACTCTGGTTGGATAAAATCGTCAAAACGCGACGGTTGACGGACTGTCCGCTCACCGCGACGAAGTGTTCAAAGAAACCAAGGCATAACAAAAATAAATCTTTATGTTCCAACTCGTTCAACTCGACAGCAACAAACATTTTAGATCTTTTCCTTTGCATCGAAAGTGTAGCACTGAGCTACACCACTTCTGAAAATATCGTTCCATTTATACAAATTGTATGGATGGAACGACATTTTCAGAAGTAACGTAGCTCAGTGCTACACTGTCGATGCAAAGGAAAAGACCTTTTATGTACCTTTTTATCGTTTAAACCTTAATTTTAGCAGCTGTATTCCAAGAATGTTAAGATTAGCCAACACTCATAACGATCTTGAGATATTTAACACCCCCTTTCATAAATTTATAAAGAAATTACTTAGTACTGAGCTTTAATTTTTGATCTTTAATTTTTAATGTTTAATGTAAATATTTTATTCAACCTTATTGTCTTTTGTCTTTTAAATCTTTTAAATTCTTAACCTATTTTATGAATTATACTACGATTGTATTTCAGCGCCATATATTATTTCACTACATTTTAATTATAATTTTAAAATTCTAATTTATTTCTCAAATGGGCTTGCCCGTAAATAAATACCATTAATCAACTTGTACAAGAAAGTTAAAGATATATAAACTCGTCTATCCTTGCAAGTTGGTAAGTTGAACCTTTGAAGTAGCCGAGTGTGATTGAATCGATGGGTAGGATACACTCCATCAATCTTAAAAGCCCATATATTTGACAAATTTATGCAGTATTTTTTTTAAATGTTTAATATGAGCTTCATAATAAGGATTCCAGATTAGACATCCATACTTTAATTTGGATCTTATGTAATGGAAGTATAGTAGTTTAGTTGTAGTAGCATTTTTGAACGATTTATGAATCCCAGCAGTTTTGTGGCAGAAGCAGGAATAGCTGCAAGATGTGAGTTGAATGACATTTTGGAATCGAATGTAATCCCTAGATCTTTGAAATTTGAGACGCGAGAAGTGACATAGATTGAATTTAAAAGTTATAGATAAAAAAAGCATGCTTTAAGGAATATGACGCAACCTTATATTTTTTTACATTAAGTGGTAGTCTGTTTTCATTACACCATTGATCGAGGGCAATTAAATCATCTTGCAGGTGATGGCTATCGTCATTTCAAGTAATGTTTTTAAATATTTTTAGATTATCGGCAATTAAAAGTGTATTACATTTGAGAACAGAAACAATATCGTTGATAAATGGCGAAAATATCAGGGAGCAAGATTATTTCCCAGTGGAGCCCCACTTGTATCTTCGAATAGAAAAGATTTAAAGTCATTCAACTCAACGTATTGCAATCTTCCCTTGAGGTATGAAAAAATAAAAGCAACGAGTTGTCTGTCAAACCCTAGCTTTAATAATGTTTTTGCCAATATTAATTGGTCTAGGCGGTCAAAAGCCTTTGAGAAATCTGTATAAATTATATCAACTTGTTGATGATGGTCTAATGCAGTAGTAGTAAAATTAGTAAGGCAAGATAGATTAGTGATGGTACTCCGCGAACCAAAGAAACCGTGTTGGTAAGGATTAATTAAAAATTTTACTTGTGAATATGTCTTTCTCTGATAATGTAATAATTGAAATGTCGAGTAGGTCATCACTATTGGCAGGATATATATTTGTACTACTCAGTGGCGGTTTGCCCGTAAGGACACTTGGGCACGTGCCCTAGTATAATAAACCCAAAAAAAATAACTTACATATTTTATGTTTTCCTCAATGCCTATTATTATTTTATCTAATATTCAGCGCAACCCGCGTTGGCACGACACTGGACGACCGGGCGTTGAGCGACGTTCCGAGAATTCCTAAATTAGATGGGCACAGTAAATGTGTGCCTCTGTTGTTTCCTCTCTCATTATGATGCGAAAAACAAGGACAACGACAATATCGCTTAGCAAGAGATGAACACATGCGATGGGTTATACGTCACAAGCAGGGCGCTGTCCTCATCGTGACGTGCTTTATCCATGGCACATATTACCTAAACCAGATCACAATGACCAGATACGAATACGAATGTACGCAGCGGCATCTTTACCGGCTCCCTCACAAAGGCGATGTGGGTTTCGGATTAAGGTGCGCGTTTGTTGGACCATGATAATAATTTATTTATTGTTATTACGAAACCATTGGAATAGTTAAGAAATAAAACTATGATGAAAAAAAAATCAATAATATTTATAAATGGGACAAAATTTAATTTTTCTTTTGTTTTTTTCTGACGAAGTGCTGATTTAAATGCGTTCGAACATGTTTGGGATAAGATGGAGAGACGTTTACGGAGCCTAGTGTCGGCTCCCAGAAAGTGTAGAAAGCTTTGCGACATACTGGTGCAGGAATGGAAATGAGATACAAAATATGATTTAAATCATGACTCGTCGGTTGCGAGCTGTTATCACTGCCAGAGGAAGGAATACTCGCTACTGAATTCCTTAAAATTTCTTTTTTTTTTTAACTAAAAGCATATCAAATAAAAAAATTTAATATTTTTAATAAACTCTAAACAAAATAACAAAAAGTTGTTTTTTATTTGAATGTGTTAAAAAACGTCGTTTTTCGGAAAGAAAATATAGTCGAAAAGTAGAACTTTTGTATCTACTCCATAAAATAGTTTATCGGACAAGGCCTCTAAAATTAAGTGCACAAAGTGTTGTATACCGATTAGAATTGTCAAATCTGAGGTAGGTTCTTTCAAATACCATTTTTGATTTTTTGGAATTAAATTCACAGACGCCAAATTTGCCGTGTCTCTAATTTCTGGGGGCGTGTCTGTAATGAATTCTTCGTCAATACGTGGTCAATACTCATTTTTGTAACTTTTTTTTGACACCATTTTTTAATAAACTAGGTAATTAAATTAAGTTGACATGAGCACAGTGACACGACAGAAATTGTTCAATTGCTGTCATAGCCAACTCAGTTAAGGAAAAATTATTGGAAATAATATCATTTCAGATTTAATTTTCTATATATTTCTTAATATCTAAGTACATTCAAATAAAAAACAATGAATGAAACACGGACGAAAAGTTATTTTTTTCGGACTCCTACGAGTTGCCAGGCTCGACTACTTCCCGCCTGGCAAGCTCTCGTAGTCGCCCGAAAAACTCAACATTTCGTCCCCGTAATATAAACTACTATTATTCAAGCAATTACTTATGACAAAATCATCGCACAAGGTTAATAAAATATGTTACAAGGTGAGTCTAATTTTATGCTCGGCACTGGAATTTTTTATGTCCATCTGAAGCTGTGTCGCCCGAGTAACGGATCGTGTCGACGTCATTCGTAAGCGTGTATTCTCAAGGGGTAGAGACAAAGAGTTTTTAGAGCTATCTAAAAGGTACAGCCAAATGATTTGCCAACAGGAATGTGTTATCAGACATCTCCCTCATTAAAGTTCTGTCTCAACATGTCATGCTACTTCTACATTCTCGCGAAAACAACTTGGTGATGTGTTCATTGATAGTTTCATGAGACAAACATATAATACGTTAACTTTCCAATACTGACTCAAGAGCCAAAATGTTGGGGGTTCACAATGACAGAATATAGATCTTAGTACAGATTTAGATAAAAAAGTTTCAGTATTTTAGAAAGGTATATTATAAACACTGAATTATTTTTTTCAATGAAATAGACATAAATACAGCATACTTTGCTATCCCACTACCCGTAGAGGGCGTCTACGAAGTTATGCGACAAAAAAGAGGCCAATACCAAACTATATTTGAATTTAATTTACTTACTGTAAAGCCTTTCCAGATATCCTGCATCATTTTGAGCAATATTTCTTATATCTTTTTCCCTTTTTAACAAATCTCTGTATTTCCCCGATAAACATTTTATAGTTTCTTCTTCTGTCACTTCTAACTCGCTAATAGCATTTAATAAGACTAAATCGTTCGCGAATTTTTGATGCTTTATAAATTTCTCTTCGATGGCTTTAAGAAGAAAACTTATAGATTCATCGCTTATAGCTAGAAAAAATATAAGTATTAAAAATGTATCCGTAAAGAAAAATTAGCTAAATAGAGGGTGGGGCAGATTAACAAACGATTTTAAAAAGTCTGTAAAAAAAGGAAATCAGGTTTTACAAATAAATTAATATATTTTGTTGAAGAGCATAAAAAAGCATTAACGATTTTATTTTTTAAAAATAACTTCGTTCAGGCGTACATATTCTTCCAATCGTGAGTTGATATTATTCATTACGTTCCGCAGCCAGTGTTGTTCCTAGGGATTTTTGAATTGTACAACTTTCAGTGTCAAAATTGTACACTTTTACTTTCGATTGTACAACCACTAATTAATTTTCTTCTTTTTTATTGACAGACTATGCCTACTACTTTCCCATGCTTAAAATTCTTCTTTTTTCCAGATTAAAATATATTTTTGATGTAAAACGGTGTACTGATTAGTCGCGAATGGCGCCAAATTTAAACTTTTATTTTTTTTATTAATTTTATTTAACAAATCGAAGACTTTTTGAGCGAAGAAAACCTTTTATATACCCGATTTTACATAAATATTTGACAATTTCAAATTGTACAACATTTCTGTCTTTTTTCAAAAGTGCGTACAACAGTACAACCACATAACTGATTGTACAACTTTTTGTACAATTGTACAACCAGGAACAACACTGTCCGCAGCATTGCCAGGGGAATTTGGTCCACTTTCTGTCCGATCCGTTTTTCAAGGCCTGAATTGTTTGTTGTGGATTATCTTTACTCCTCAAGTAACCTCACAAGAAATAAATATAGTTTAAAAAAAAACTAAAAAACACGCTTTGAGAGCATATCAAATTAAAAAGTTAAAAATAATTTTTTAAATAAGCTTAAAACAATAATAAATGGAAAATACTAGTATTATTGTGAAAAAAGCGTCGGGCGCTCGATGTACGAGAAATATGGACAAAGCGCCCCACGCTTTTTTCACAATAATACTAGTATTTTCCATTTATTATTGTTTTAAGCTTATTTAAAAAATTATTTTTAACTTTTTAGTTTGATATGCTCTAAAAGCGTGTTTTTTAGTTTTTTAAACTATATTTGAATCGGTGAGTGAAAGAACAATACATATCCAAAATGACTATTTTGAGAAAAACAAAAAAAACTGTTTTAAAGGAGAACTATGGGTTATTCGGCCTAATTATGTATTGTGAAATTATAGAATTTTTGTTAACCGATAATAATACGTACATAAATTTAAAAATAAAATTATGGAAAAAAATGATATTTGAAAAAAATGACTTGCAGTTATACTGTTCTTTCACTCAATTTAAAAAAAAATGCTTTAAATTTTTTTTGTAGCTTTATTGATTATTATTTAACAAACTTATTTGTATTTTTTTAATCAGAATCATCATTTTTGACTTTCCAAGAAATAATATATGGTAGTAAAACTCTAGGATTTCATCACTAAAGTAGAATAAAAGTATCTTTATATTAGCTATCTTCTTAACGTTAATGGGGACAACTTCTGAGTATGCCTTTTCTAATGGCGAGCATACACGTAACGGTCTACCGGAGAGGTCTACCTGTGCAGGTGTGCCTGCGCAGGTCGGCTTCATGTCGTAGCGTGCATGTCTACCTGTGCAGGCACACCTGCACAGACAAACCGTAGCGTGTATGCCCGCCATAAGGGTAACTGCAGATTGGCATTAGGTTTGATATCAGTCTAATGCGCTCCACACATAAAAGTTTGCGAGAGAAAACTGCCTATGAAGGCACTTGTAATAACATATCCAGAAGTTTTACCAGTGTATGTAAACTGGTTGTACTATGGAATGACAAAATTATCTTTTTGTTGATCAGCTGATTTAGAGGTTTTTTTTTATGAAATTGCGACCACCAGTTTTTGAAATCTGTGTCAAATTTGTCTACGAAACGACATGGCTACTGAGTGAAAAAACAGTACATGTTCCGTACTTGTACTGTTCTTTCACTCAACCGAAACTTGAACAAGCCCCCATCGCTCGTATGATGTTGGTCTGTGTATTATTCTTTCGCTATGTGATTGGCCTATGAATTTTAAACAATTTGTCTAGCTCAGTTAAAATTACCGTTTTTGGCACTTGTACTGTTCTTTCACTCACCGATTCATTTATTTTTCACTTTTTAGTTCGATGTATTATAAAAGCGTGTTTTTTAGTTTTTTTAAACTTTATTTATATTTTACTTTTTAGTTCGATTAATTATTAAAAAAAAAAATTTGTAAGTTGAAATTGCTGAAAAAAACAATTATTTTTTTTTTTGAGCCGTGGACGGGATTATTAGAACCCATGATCGGTGAGTCTGGCGATCGACGACCCGCGCCTTAGACCGCTCGACCAATTAACGAACTTGAGGTAGAGGGATATACTGACAGTAATAAGCCATTTGCTTTTAGTCCAAAGGAGAGTTACAAACATACATACAGGTGAAGCTAATAAAAGCGTGTTAAAAATAGCTTGTTGTGAAAAATAACACGCGCGCTGCTGAGTGGAATCGACCGCTCCACTGTTACTAACTAAATACCGTAGGGGCCAATCAGTGTTGCCAGGCCCTGTCAACCCAAAATCGGTAGAATTATCGAGAAAAATCGATAGATCTCAGCAAAAACGGTAGATTTCAAAAATCAAATGAAATTTGTAGAAAACAAAGTTTCTAATACTAAAAAGTAACATAAAAATTCTAAAACACACATTAACTAACATTTTTAAAAAAAGAAAAACTTAAAAATTAAATTTTAATCGTAGAAAATAAAAAACAAAACCCTTTATATACCTAATTAATATTTTTAAAATAATAAAAAAAAAAAACTAAATAATAATAAAATGACATTTTTTTACAAAATTTTAATATTAGAATACTGCAAACAAAACTATGGAATTAGGAATTATCTTTTATTTTCTAAAATTCCCTATTTATAACTTCGTTGCTTGTGATTCCCCGATACCCGATTGCTAGTGTATTTTCCCCTAGTAAGTGTTGTCCGTCCGCGCCGCAGATAGAATTAAAATTCTAACGAGAATATAATAGCTTCGTTCGCGGTAACAATCCTGAACTGATTCAGAATTAATAATTCATACTGTGAGCGCATGCTCGAATCATTATCAATTCTAAATTTTTACCGCGCGCGCAATCCCTATTATATCTCGGTATTTCAGGTATAGACAAGCGGTCCAAACCCAATAATTATTTCACCGCGAACGCAGAATAGAACCAATAGTTCAGTTCTTTTTGTTCCGCAAACGCTTTTTAACTACTGCGCCTGCGAAATCGTTACTGTTAGTAATAATTCGGTTCAGGATTGTTACCGCGAACAAAGCTAATATTAGGCAATTAGGACGGGCGTGCGTAGAGTGTGTTGCATGAAAGGACATATCAATGTCAGAATTAAGGCCAAGTTCATCGGGTTGTCAATGAAAAGTGACGGCTACTTTTTTATTACAAAAAATACAGCCCTGAACGATAATATTTTCAGAAATTGTTTTTGAAAATGAGTTCAGAGTACGGTTAAGAATGGTGGAAAGTTTACAGTTTGTTTTACTTTTAATGCATAATATTTTAATAAGTGATATTTAACAACTATTTAAAAATTATGGACTTTTCATAATTTTTATTAGTATTTAAAAGATAAAACGTAAAATACACTATTTTATTTTTCGCTTATTATGTCAGGAAACTTGTGTTAAAATTTAAAAATGTACTGTCGATTAGGTGGCGTCAATTTGCAACCGTGCTAATTCGAGACATACGTTTTATTAAACTCATCGTGTTACGTATTTGTTGACATTAAGAGATAGAAATTTAAAGTGACGTCTTGTATTACTTCAAATTAAAAATCGTTTTTTAACCTAAGAAAAAAGTTGAGTTAGGTCTTAAGAAAATTTGTCAAAAGGAATAGGTACTTTTTGGTACAAAATGCAATGTTAAGTGTAATAAAATCAAAGATTATTTGAAAAATCGGTAGATTGCCTAAAAATCGGTATATCGGTAGATTTTTATGGATTAATATAAAATCGGTAGATCTACCGATTAATCGGTAGCAATGGCATCACTGGGACCAATATACTAAATGCTAATATGCAGGAAAAGTGGCCGATAGCGGCCCTACCACCTCCTATCGATACGAGTTTTTTAAAATGGCTCGTTATTCTGCCCAATGCCATATTTTTTATATGGCGATGATGTATATTTACAATATCAGTTTGTGTTTGAAAGTTTTGTGCTAAATATTTTCTATAAGGCGAATCATAATGAACTTACAGGTGCTTAACTCAATTTTAATTTTCTTTTTGGTAGCTTCTAGAGTTAAATTCTCTTTTAAAATGGATATGATAGAAACGTTATCGGACTTAAATTCAGCTTCTCCTTTTCTAAAATTAATTGAACATTAACGATAATTCAGTTGGGATTTGAGGATAAAAGCTCACTGATAAGAACATTCTAATACGCTGTTTAATAAACTGGAACCGAACCAAAGGACCGTTTTTTCCGAAACTTGAGGTTTTTCAGGAACTTCTGGCAGACATTGGTTTAGCCAAGAGTTCATTTCTGCCAAGCTAAAGGATCCTTTCATAGTAAGTGTATTAAAAGGTCTAAAATAAATATATTAATGCATCTCATACGTAGTCCTGTCACTACAAACATTTATTTAAGTGACAAAAATAATAATAAACCATCGAGAAAAATCATAATTGGAGTTGGCTGTGAAATATACATGTTTTGGGTTAGTACTATGAAGACTAGAGGCGAATCGGCGTACTTAAAATACGGTCTCAAAAAACGCATGCCAATTGAGCTTTTATAATTAACCGCATGGGCGCTGGTACTGTATACGGTGTTCAAAATACATGGCTTCTTATGGGAATTATACATAATTTTGTCAAAATAATAAAAATTAACTTGTTTATAGCTAAATAAAGCACAGAACATACTGTTGTATTTATTTCTAAATAAGTTTTGCATGTTTTAATTGATAAATTATTTAATTTTATCTATATAAAATAGAAATTAAGTATGTATGACCAAATTTTGGGGTCCCATAGAAATTAAGTATGTGTGACCAAATTCGAAAAGGTTTCTTAAATGCTGAAATTTGATAAGTACAATTTTGTGGCAAATTTTTTTTTGAATTGAACCAATATATAGTTTTAAGATTAAAATAAAACACAATTAACAGATTTTTTATTGTTGTAATACAAGTATAAAGGGAAATTTGGGAATGTACATGGTATTACCTCATCCTTTAATTTTAGCTTTCCCCTTTTTATTTTGCTAACAGTACCATCAGTAAAAATAATCTCATAATATTTGATAATATCTTCTAAAAAGTATAGAACAGCATCATCTCTAGAACGTGCTTTATCGGCACTAGGAACGATATATTCTGCCACTGTTCTAAACGCTTAATATCCTATAAAAAAACATTTACAATGACAAAATTGCGGTCCAAAAAAAAATAACAGTGGCAACTCTTTATCTAACATTAAAACTCTATAAAAAATAATTTTTCTTTTCTAGTAAGTTAAATTTAATGCATAATTATTATTGTTTGTAAGTCAGCATCTATGACTGTAAAATTTTATATTATAGAAACTTGTAAATAAAATAAACTACACTTCGTAAGATACATATTGTGGCTAGTTTACAATAAATATTATATTTAGACATGAATACATTATTTTACTTACATTAGAAGCTTTAAAAAGACATTATATTGATTTCTTCTTCTTTTCTTTAGTTTTACATTTGATTTTTATCCTTTTTACAATCTGGAACGACGTAAATCTTGCTTTGATTTTTTGTCACTCATGTTACTTGTACTCAGGTACTTTTTTTCACATTATTTTGATTCTCTTCACCAATTTTTTAAAAAATCCCATCATTTTACATTGACTTAACATAGAAAATTGACACCGCTCTGCCAATTACAGTTAATTTCGCGAACTTTATAAAAAAGGACGGAAATTTGAAATTTGACCATTGCCGATTCGCCTCCTCTCTAGTCTTCATAGTTAGTACTTTAGTCACTTATACATAATGACATTTTATCCTTAAAATTGAACCTACATGTTTGTGTCAAATTTGTCAAAGCTTTAATTAAGAAAATTAAATTTAAAAAATGTTATTCAACACTACGACGGTATTAGTACTACAAAAAATAACTTTAACTTAAAAAAGACAAAATTTAGTAAAAAAAGTCAAAATTTTGAAAAAAAAGTTAAAATTTTGAGAAAAAATCAAAAAATAGAAAATTATACCTGTCATCTTTGCAAGAGTATTTAAAAGGGCGCTGCCACCTGTCACACACACACACACACACACACACACACACACACACACACACACACACACACACACACACACACACACACACACACACACACACACACGCACGCACGCACGCACGCACGCACGCACGCAAGCACGCACGCACGCACGCACGCACGCACGCACGCACGCACGCACGCACACACACACACACACACACACACACACACATACACACACACACACACACACGGAAGTAGCTAGAGTACCAACCTAAAACATTTAAATTTCACAGCAACTCCAATGTTTGATAAATTATTACCTGTTACTATCTAGTTGGTGTAATCGATAATGGAGTGAAAGCGCTTTTATTTCGTATTTCATAACCCTACTGCATTTAGGTTGCACAAGTGGCATAACGTAAACTTGAAGAACACCTTTTTTCCCTTCGATTGGACGAATTTTTATATCCAAACGGTTGGTGTTGATTTGACAACGATAAGTTGCTAATAGATAATTTTCATCCTAAAATTCATTAAAATCATTTACACAATTATAAAATGTCTTAACTAATCTCATTAGAGGTGTCTGCAGTCACAAAAAAAAAATCAATAAATGCCATATGTATGTTATTGTTACAATCTATTACATTTGGGATCCATTAATAGAATTTGCAAGTTGTTACATTTAGTTCAGATGCTACATTTTAACCTACCTTTGTGTCAGACGTGCTGTAACTTACAACTGCAGAATTTTTTTCGACGTCTAATAAGTCAATTTCAGTGTTGCATTGTAGCAAAACGTTGTCTATAGCCGTTGGTACTTCGATAGACAGATTGTAAGTAGACGTGTTCTTGTCTAAAATAAACTAGAATACCTATAAAAATTAGTAAAAAATATATGCAACTTACAGAATCTTTAACCATCAGTAAAGGTATAGCAGAGACTTCATTAAAATATATTTGCGTTGAAGATAGTTGGTATTTTTCCCTTTCTTTCAGAATTTTGTTTTTTAATTCATCAATATCGGCTCTAAAAAATAATAGCAACGTAATATATGGCTCCATGACAAAACAGCGCAAGACCAAAATGGCGCAGGTCAAAATAGCGCAAGACAAAATAGCGCAAGACAAAATAGCGCAGGACCAAATAGCGCAGGACAAAAAGCGCAGGACAAAAAGGGCAGGACAAAAAACCTGGGTGGCCTGAAGCCATCACGAGTTGTTTAAAAAAAATTGTACATAAAATTATAAAAATAAAAAAAATCTTGAAAATTACCTGACCTGTGCGCCCTGGCGCCATATACAGCTACCCGCGATGCCTCCAGGCCGCACAGATTAGGTAAGTTAGTTACATTTTAATTAGAATATTGGAATAATATTTTTCTCGTTCTTTTTTGACTAAGCGCTAACTTGACTCACTATAATTTGTTCAGTTAATTTATCTTACTATATTTATATCAAGTGAAAACTTGTATCTCATGTATTTTTATCAGCGTAAATTTGTCGCAATAAATGTGCTACACTTCAAATATTCACTGCGTAGTCGGAACAGTATTTACCAATTATTTTAATGAATTACATTAATTAAAAAAAAACATATCTTGTTCTTTTACGCTATTTTATCCTTGCGCTATTTTGTCTTGCGTTATTTTGTTTGCGCTATTTTGTCCTTCGCTATTTTGTAATGCGCTGTTTTGTCATGGAGTCACAGTGTATAGGCTAGTGTCCGACCGAAGGTTCGGTTTTTGTTTCGGTTTCGGCCTAAAATAAGAGTTTCAGTTGTAATTTCGGTTTCGACGGAAAACTAGCCGAAACTGCAGCCAAAATCGAAAGTACTTTCGTGTCACGTTTGGAAAAGTTCGACACACCGTTTGCTTTTTCATAAAAACTAAAATTTCGATTATTTCGATAATTTCGATTATTTCGATTATTTCGATTATTTCGATTATTTCGATTATTTCGATTATTTCGATTATTTCGATTATTTCGATTATTTCGATTATTTCGATTATTTCGATTATTTCGATTATTTCGATTATTTCGATTATTTCGATTATTTCGATTATTTCGATTATTTCGAGTACTGAAATGTACCTACATTATAAGTATACGAGCCATATTTTCAAGAATACCGGAATATTTATGTAGGGGCAACCGATCAGAATAATCCAACTTACTTTAATTTGAAAATCTTTTGCGATGTATCAGCAGAAGAAATATATCCGGCCGTTGAATTGTCAACGCTTGCTTCTATTGTTTGGGTTGTGAAACCAAAAACTCGACCTGTGTAAGTAACCACCAAAATCTCATCGTAACCCGATGTTGCTACAACACCACACTGCAAACCGCTAACGCTTTCGTTGCAATTCTAAAACAAAAATTAATCAACTAATTTGGGCTTAAAGATAATTAAATTTTAACGTTTTATTTGAACAATATCTTCAGCATCTTGACCTTATAAACAAGTATTAAATATAAAAAACCTTCCTCTCCTTTGTGTTACGCGTTTAGAAATACAAAACTATATTCACCAATTTATTTGCAACTTAACAGTAATTTATTAGCAATATTAATTAATATTGATAATTTCACTTAATACGACAAAATATTTCTAACAACTCGCCGAAACCCGTAGATGCTTCTCGATGACCTTGTTTTACGAATCGACACGTGCGCAAATGCTTTCTGGTATTTCTCGTAGCAGCCTCAACGATCACATAGCAGACGCATTGGCGACAACGGAAGCAGGACCGGACTGGTCGAAAATGGCTCACACGACAATATTTTAAATATCATTAAAAAGGTACTTTGAGCATACGATTATTTATACTGATGCTTCTAAACAATCTGATGGTTGAGGTTGTGCATTTCTTATTCCAGCACTAAATGTGAAAGTCCATTTTAAACTCAGTAAATCTACCTCAATATTTTCAATTCAGAACAACAAAACTTTATCAAAGTCGATAGACATAATTTCACCATCTTAAATCCAGTTATTTTGGAACATCCAATTGGTCCGAGTGAGCTAACGATTCATTAGCTATACACTGTGGCTTGGTTTCTTTGTAATCTATCCTGGATTCATACATCCATATTCCGTTCCACTCCGAGGTTTACCTCCCCTTTTGTAATAGTCACCCTGAATGAGCCCTGGGTATGAAATGAGTTACCCCACCCCCACATCCCATGCTGATGTATCATTGTATAGTTTTTGTGTATTTGACAAATTCAATTCGTGTATCTGGGCTATATATACTCGTATACTCGAAGGTCTTTATAAACAATATTCAGCATCGGTTATTGAAAACTCTTGTTCTTAATAACTCTAGAACAAACATTAGTTGTGGAGATCTTGCCAGTTTCTCTTAAGTAATTCATAATATGGAATGGATACATAATTAATAGACTTCTGTTTAAAGAAATCTTCAGTGTCGACTAGATTTTAAATTCGTACTTAAATTTATTAAATAAAGATTGTAGCACTTAAGGTGATTACAGCACCCCCTTATAATTTTCGGTGAAGGATATCTCAAAAAGTAATTATTTTTAAAAATTAAAATTTTGGCAAAATATATTAGGCAATAATATGTAGAATATGCATATATTTTAAAGTTTTAATTCCTTCCCGTTTCCGAGAAAAAAATCAAAGGGCTTTAAATTTTGAAATATCATAATGAAAATAAATGCATTCCTCAACAGCACTATTCTTAATATAATCACTAAATTGAAGCTCTTAATCTTTTGTTAATGATTTTTTAAAATTCGCCGAAATTAGTGGCTAAAACGCCTTGTTAAGTGCTATTTTCTGGTTTAAACTGGTTTAAACTGGTGTAAACTGGTGTAAATCGTTGCAAGAAACGAATGATGTATGATACATAGTTACAGACGCGTTCAGTGTTGTTTCTAGGGATTTTTGAATTGTATAACTTTTAATGTCAAAATTGTACACTTTTACGTTCGATTGTACAACCACTAATTAGTCTACTACTTCCCAATGCTTAAAATTCTTCTTTTATCCAGTTTAAAAAATGTTTTCGATGTAAAACGGTGTACTGATTGGTCGCGAATGGCGACAAATTCAAACATTATTGTTTTATTAATTTTATTGCATACGATTTACGATATACCAGATTTTACATAAATATTTAGCAACTTCAAATTGTACAACATTTCTACCTTTTTTCAAAAGTGCGTACAACCACATAACTGATTGTACAACTTTTTGTACAATTGTACAACCAGGAACAACACTGGACGCGTTACACTAGAAAGAAGTACTTAACGAGGCGTTTTAAGGTGCGTTTTGCAAGCAGCGATTGTGGCGATGATTGCTGGGCGATAATCGCACAGCGATAATAGTGGGGTACTGCTAGGCGGTCTTTACATACTTCTTTAGGGCAAATATGATCGCAGTTGTAAACGATTATTCAATGCAGGCCATCGAAATAGGATAAAGTAAAGATGACAACATTATTTTGCGATATGACAGGTGGAAACACTTCTAGTGACGAAAAAGTGTAATGAAAATGACGACTTGAGTGGTACTTTGATTTCATTGAAATCAATAATTTTATATTCGTAGACTGACTGAATGAAAATGATGTTATATGATTTAAATGAAGCTATTTAACAAAAATGGCATCTATTTTCATTAAAACTGGCTAGTTCCGCTAGCTTGAGTTTTATATATTTGACGTAAATATGTAAAATTCTATCTCGATGACGCAGACGGTTCTCGCGCATGTGCTGTTTGCTGTATGCGTTTTAAAACATTTATGTGCATAAAGTCGGATAAAATCGTGAGGCCCAAGCTGAACTTTTTAGCATTAGAAGACGAAAAACTTATTGAAGCTGTGGCAAAACACCCTGCTATTTATGGCCTGCAATACGCTATGTACAAATATCAATATATGGGTTGACATTGGAAAGTCAACGAAATAATATTCCAAGGAGTAAACTACAGTAAAAGTAAGTGTATGAGGCAAGGGTATTTTGTGGACATTTGAGGTAATTTACGAGAAATTGGCGGGAATCCAGGAAATTACAAAACATTTGAGGGAATTTAAGAGAAATTATCTAGAATTGCGACTAATTTAAATGCATTTTAAAGGAGTTTAGCTCTTCAAAAGTTTTGATCAGGTACATCAATGGACGTTAAAACTTGTTTGGTTTTGTTTGTTTTTTGTTTGTTTCTGCTTGTTTTTGCTTGCTGTTTGATTCTGTTCGTTTTTATTTGTTTTTGTTGGTGTTTGTTTTGTTGGTTGGTATTTTGTTTGTGTTTGTTTATGTTTGTTTATGTATGTTTATTTATGAAACTCATATTTATTGGCTAATAAGACCCTCGTATTAATTAATAATCTGAAAAATTCAGAAAATTTCTTACTGTCGTCACTTAAATGTTGAAAGATCAATTTTTTAAAAAATCTCTCTTCATTTCTAACTTTAAATATGGGTTGATTTATTGCTCTCGGTTCTGTGCACATTTGAAACAATTCCTCATCTAATATTTCCTCAACCAGAAAATATTTAAATAGTAACTTATTTTTCTAACCGGTCGAATTGTCGAATACACATGTCCGCTATCGACGCTAGCGACTACTGTTATGACTGCTCATAGGAAAACGGAAGTATTTAAAATAACATCTAGCAGTGCCCAGCGGTAATCGCTAAGCGACCATCGCAAGAGTCGCTGGTTTCAAAACGTACTTTTTTAATATTATCTACCAGTATTCGCAATCATCGCTATGCGATTATCGCTCAACGATCGTCGCCAAAATCGCTGCTTGCGAAACGCACCTTTAGCCACTAATTTCGGCGAATTTTAAAAAATCATTAACAAAGTATTAAGAGCTTAAATTTGGGGATTATATTAAGAATACCGCTGTTGAGGAATGCATTTATTTTCATTATGATATTTCAAAATTTAAAGCCCTTTGATTTTTTCTCGAAAACTGGAAAGAATTAAAACTTTAAAAAATATGCATATTCTAGATATTTTTGCCTTATTTATTTTGCCCAAATTTAAATTTTCTAAAAAAATTACATTATGAGATATCCTTGTCCGAAAATTATAAGGGGGTGCTGTAATCACCTTAAACAATAATCTAAGTATTTAAACTAAAATAGACAAAATGATGATGTAATTAATGATTTTGCTTACATATTTATAAATAATTTTTGGTTCATCTAGTGCGTCATTAACGGTAACTTGATGGACCTCAATTGACCCATCTTGCCTGCCTAAAATCAACTGTTTTCGACCACTGCCGTTCAAATCATAGCTGTCCATGGCACATATGGTACTGTTATTATCTGTATTTGGTATCAGCCATCTTTGAAAGCCTTGTAAACTAAAATGGAAGGATTGATTTATATAATAAAAATAATAGTTTTAGCACCATAACATATTTTTTCTAGTTTTGACATTTAAAGTGACATTTTTGTAATCGCAGCAAGTGTCAAAATAATCTACTTTACGCAACTAGTTGCATAATGTTGAACATTATAAAACTGGTTACGAAAAATTCGTTACGTTACCAGTTGCGAAAAGAAAACATTTGAATAATCTTTTTTTGTTTTAAAATAAATATATACATATAAGTTTATATTAAAGAAGAGCAGGTTGACATATGAAAATAGAATTTGGTTAAATTTACAACTTAGTAATAATGTTGTTTTGGTCCTTATTTTCCATTCTAAATCAGTACATAGTAATTAAAACATAATAAATGACAAAATAACCTACTTTCTTGACAACTAAATAACTTTAACAAGCAATATAAACAAACTACAAGTCGTTGAGAATTTAATTAATGTGATTTTCGATTTGTCAATGAAATGAATGAAGTTACGCATATGCAACTAATAATACAAGAAAGTAATATTGGTTGCCTTGATAACAGTAACCCAGACAGCACACCAAATCTTTTGGATATCTACTGGACATCTCAATATCCACTGATGTCCAGTCCATGGTGGATATCTATTTTATATCCATGAGATATAATTTATAGATATGCAAATGTCCATAAATAATAGTATTATATAACAAATTAATAAAAAATTACGCCATTGTGGATAATAGTACCGTTTAGATATTTAAAATTAATTTTTTTTAAGGCGTATTCAATATCCCATGGATATCCACTAAATATATCAAAGTCTAGGCCCGAACGCAAACCATGGTGGATATCCACTAGATGTATTTTATGGATATAATATGTACCTAAATATCGGAAAATATGTGAATTGATTTAATAATTATTAAATTACTTAAATATTATGCCATGTGATAACTAAGAAAGTATGTAGGTATGGTTTATAGAAATTTAAAATTAATAAGTTGTATTCAATATCCCACATATATCCGCTAGATAAATAATATTGGCATTGAACGCGACGCAGGCGCTGATATTTTCTGCTCTCACAGCTCACAGGTGCCATCGGCCATTTTATAGTTTGTTTTTGTTTTGTTTGTATCGTGTGCATGAGTTTCAGTTGATAATTTTGGTTTAAAAGGAGGTAAGGAAGCTTTATAACTTAAACTTATTAGTGTAAAAGGTTGATAGACTTTAGTTAAATAAGACAATGGTTAAATTCACGTTATTAAGATTGTTAAGTATAGGTTGTATGCAATGTACGTTAAAATCCGTATCCTTTTTAGGTAATTCACAGCTAGAAATTCATGTTGTTTTTACGATACCCTATGTTATTTTACCTACCTTCATATACCTACTTAATTTCGTGTGATTATTATTGTTGGTGATTCGGTTTGGTTTTTATAATTAATTACAAAGAGGTATTTTTTTACTGGTTAAGGTAATCTTATTACCTTGTATTAAATAGCATGCATGAAGAATTTAACAAGTAAGGTTAGGTTATATATAGCTGGACCAACAGTTTAAATAAATAAATATAATATATACACAGATCCAACCCTTTTAAATTATTAGTTAGTGTTATACATTGTATAAGTGACACTCTGTACAAAAGGCTTTTTTCAGACTTCATTTTCGTTTTGGGTATAGCTTGTTTTAAAATATAGTTTCACTTTTTGATGAATTCTACAAGAGAGCGTCTTTTTTCTTAGGAAGGAAATTCGAGTTGAAATTGCGGTGCCAATATATAATGTGTGTGTATGTGTGATTAGGTTAAGGTTTTCCTTGGCTGCGGGTACTATGTTCATTCGTCAGCTTAAATGTAATATGTTACTTAATATAATAGTATGTTTATACTATAGTTTACTTTTTTTAAATATATTTAGCCTGCTCATAATATTTGTCTTTGTTTTATCTAACTATACTTAATATAACAACAATTAAAAATAACATTTATTTGTAAGATGCTTATATGTTAGATAACTCGTGCGTTGTATTATGTTTAAAACTTACTTCACATATTCAATAACATTTTGGTGGTTTTTTAGGTATGGTGTACAATATTTAATTGTAAAAATAAAATGTTGGTACTCTTTCTACTCTACATGCTATACCTATGTGTAGCGTCTAAAATAGTTAACACTAGAATAGTAAACCTTGTATCGGTGTATATACCAAATTAAAAATACAGGGCGTTCCGATGTAATGCTACTGAAATGCTGATTTTCTTCACATGGAATGTTTTTAGATTATGCAGTACATTGTTCCACTTATCTTTCACAAAAAAAAAATTAATAAAGCATTAAATACGAAACCCTATAGGCATATAGGGTTAAATAATTCAAATAATGGATGTACACTGAATATGTTAAACATCTATAGGATATATCCATTGGTTACTTATGAACCTCTACTAAAGGTACCTAAATATTTTGCTGGATATCCATAGAATATCTTCTATATCCTGGATATAGATGGACATTTGGATATCCATATTAAATCCACTGGATATCTATAAAATCCTGTGGATATATTGGATATCCTCAAAAGATATTCTGTGGATATCTCTGGGATTTGGTGTTTTGTCTGGGTAATGTTTTACCAAAGCACTATTGGTTGCCTTGATAACAGTAATGTTTTACCAAAGCACTATTTTATAAATAATCTAGTCAAAATTAGAAAAAATATTGTATGTAACACATTACGAAATGCCAATTTATGTATCTTGTTCATGTTACGGGACCTCGCTCTGCTCGTCCCGCAAATATTCACTCGTTACATAAAATAAGGCATTTCGTAACTGGTATAAATTTAATTTAATAGAAGTTAATGTTTACTTTTCTACGTCTAAAATGCCAATGCGTCCATCTGTAGTTCCAAATAAAACTGCTTCAGTATCTTCTGAATCGTAAATATGTAAAACAGTCGGGGAACTGTCTACCTCCATGCTCAAGGTCACTCGTGCATGTTCTAAGGCTCTTATCATCCGTCCTTCGCAGGCTATTAAAGAAATCAGCCTTCTATTCTAGGATACAAAAGATATCGTTAAATTTTTGATTTTTGGAACGCTGAATAAAAGAGGAGTGCAGTAAAAGTGGGGATATACCGTCACATTCCATAGGCGTACTTTGCAAAATAAGTTTTTATAATACAAATAAGATCATGGCATATAAAATGGTATATACAAACTTCGTAAATTAAATTTTGAATGAAAAAAGTTATAAAAATAAACCTTATGCTTCTGACAAAATTGTTGCATTTTAACATAGAATGAATTAAATTTAACCAATAAATAACAGGGAAGATTATATGTTGATAATGCGATAAAACTTTTTTTAAAAGTAACACTTCGGTACCTAATATCAAAGATTAAAATAAATAAAAAGTTCAAGAAATATCTTTATTATTAAAGGGTCTATTAAGTTTTCCATTGCTATATCCACTTTTCAAAATGAATTTTTCACCATTTTAACATGATCAATGCATTTTCTCCAATGTTCTTCATTTACATCTGAACATGTCTTCAAAAACAAATTTCGCACATCAGGTAATTTAAATGTTGTATTGTTTCGAGTAACATAACCTTTTAATTGTGATTTCAATGGGATTTAACTCTGCGTGGTAAGGAGGCAATCTGAGAGTTTCAGTTCCTTTTTCTCGGGCCATCTCGTCTATAATATATTTTTTGAATTTGTTTTTATTTTGCCTTGCTATTATGAGTAATTCTGCCTTCAATGAAGCCATTTTGATATATATTCTTTTTTCTATCTTGCAAGTAGTGGCTCCTTTAATCGACTGTGATAGGATGCATTAGGTATCCAAAACTATAATGGAGTTGGATGAATTTTTTTTATAATGTTATGAAACAAAGTTTAAAACAATTAAAGAAATGGATAGCCCCTTATCTATTTCTTCATGGTAGTCTTTTGATTTCTTTGACTTGTACATTAATAAACCATCTGGCAAAAATATATCGGTGCTTCCAATTTGAGTTATTATTAAGTGATAGTGGGGGAATCGTGCGCATCAAACTATTTCATATTTCGCGGGCTTTTAAGCGCCACCGACTAGTGCTGCGCTCTCTCCTTTCTACTGTGCATCACTAACACCATTACTCACATCAGGATAGCTATTCACTAAGTCATGGGAACGCTCCCATGGGAGTGTCCCATATATTTTGCTCTCTTACTCTTAGGTGGTTATATCGTGCTAAATCACTTTTAGCCCAGGTACGTGCGTAGTTAGGTCGGAGTAAGCACGATATACCCACCTAAGAGTAAGAGAGCAAAATATATGGGAAAACTCCCATGGGAGCGCTCCCATGACTTAGTGAATAGCTACCCAGTTGTTTACGTTTGTACGGAGCGAGTCCTGTTTATTTGAAATCCAGCCAGTTTCTGTAACTTTTTTACATCGGAAAATAAGATAAGATATATTTGTTTTATGGAAAAGTATGATCTTTTGCATATATTGATGCTTGTTTTACATTGTTAGGTTATTTAGTTTGCTAACTGTATTACAGATTGTCATTTAATGGCTAAAGGGGTAATGATGCGCGCTGATGCGCATCATTACCCCACACGTAATCTAATTTTAAATATATATTTTTTTTAGATGCCGAGAATTTATAAAAGGAAAACCACAATTCTTTCATATAAGGAAGATTTACAAAACGCATTATTTGCGATAAGAAATGATGACAGAAAAATAAGGGATGCAGGAAGGGCCTTCAATATTTCTGAATCGACACTCAGAAAAAAACTGTCAGATAATGAGCCACAGCCTCCTCGTTTGGGTTGCAAGCAGTGGCGGCTTGAGGGCACTAGCGGCAGTGGGGCACACACTGGAAAGAAATCCCGGGATTCGTTTTTCCCTTAGAAAAATTAAATATATTTCAAAACAATCAGTTGGGGCAATAACGATTTCTGAATGTGATTACAGGGAGCTAAATGTGACCACTCAAAATGCATTTAACTATGTATGTGGCTATTTAATCAAAAAATCATTACATATCCACTCTTGCGAAATTTGCGTAAATTTCTCAGAAGAATGCAATTTACTTAACAATTCTAACTTGTTAACGCATTTTAAAGCATACGACTCTGAAGAAAATGTGTTTGGCAATTTAAAATCTCCCAGCGAAAAATTTCTCTTTTATATATTCAAATTAGAAAAAATATTTATATCTCTATTTGATAGTTTGTCAACTAAGCCTGAAATTTCCAACGCATACCTTTTTGAGATGAGCAAAATAGAATTTGGTCATCCTTGCCAACAATTTGCGAAAATGTACACCATTAAATTATTTATAAGTTCAGAATTTTTTATACTCTTAAATATGCAAACAGAGATTTGAAATCTTCGAAAAAGTCAGACAAAACCAAAAGAAAAATTAAAATTTTGTCCCATTTATAAATATTATTGATTTTTTTTTCATCATATTTTTGACTGCTTTATAAAAAAAAGTTATTTTTCTTTGTAGTTTTATTTCTTAACTATTCTCCAACTAACGTTTTTTCGTAATCACAATAAATAAATTATTATCATGGTCCAACAAACGCGTACCTTTAGCTGAAACCAGCATCGCATTTGAGAGGGAGCCGGTAAAGATGCCTCTGCGTACATTCATATCTGGTCTAGGCAGCGCCCCGCTTGTGACGTATAATCCATCGCATGTGTTCATCTCTTGCTAAGCGATATTGTCGTTGTCCTTGTTTTTCGCATCATAATGAGAAAGAAAACAACAGAGGCACACATTTACTGTGCCCTGTGCCCATCTTCTTTCGGAATTCTCGCAACGTCGCTCAACGCCCGGTCGTCCAGTGTCGTGCCAACGCGGTTTGCGCTGAATATTAGATAAAATAATAATAGGCATTGAGGAAAATATAAAATGTATAAGTTATTTTTTTTTTGGTTTATTATACTTACGGGCAAACCGCTACTGGTTGCAAGCCTGTGTTTTCAGAGGAAATAGAATCTGAGTTAAGAGAGTACGTTTTAACGCTAGCAAAGCTATTTTATGGCCTAACACCCAGGTGTTTTAGGCGACTAGCTTTTAGATATGCTGAGCAATATGACATTGCCCTTAAATTCGACAAGGAAAAAAGATTAGCTGGGAAGGACTTGCTGCATGGATTTTTAAGGAGTTTACCTGATATAAAGCTATGGCAGCCTGAAGGAACCTGTTTGAATAGGATTGCATCTTTTAATAAGGACTCAACCAAATTATTTTTTTTCAAACCTTCAAACTATCATGGAAAGGTTTAAGTTCGAACCCAAGAGTGTTTACAACATGGATGAGACAGGCATCACCACGGTGCGGAAAAAATGCCCTAAAGTTTATGGTCGTAAGAGATCTAAAAAAGTAGAAGCTGCAATTTCTGCCGAAAGAGGAAGAACAATAACAGCTGTATTTTGTTAATATATCCAAGAAAAACGATGCCCAAAACTTCCGACAAAAATGGACCGATTGGGGCGTTGTACAAATGTTCTAAGAACGGTTCGATCAATTCCGGACTTTTTCTTCAGTGGCTGGGTCACTTTCAGAGGCATGCTAAGCCTACTGTTACTGATCCTGTCCTTCTGGTCCTGGATAACCATTCCAGCCACATTTCAATTGCAGCTTATAATTTCTGCAAAGAAAATAATATCCACATGGTCTCACTTCCTCCACACACATCGAATCACTTTCAGCCTCTGGATCTGACATTTTTTAGCCCTCTTAAAAATGCACTATTTAGGGAATATGATCTTTACTTGTCAAGTACCGACAAATTTACCGATGCTGATTTTGAACCTAGCCACCATGTACGAATACTTACAGTAGAAGCAACACCTGAACTTGAAACTTCATTCAGTCAAGATGGTGCAGCAACTCTTCCAGATAATTACCCAGATTTACAACATCAGAGAGATCTGAGCTCTCAGCCATCTACGTCTTATGATAATTCTTTCTTTGCTATGGCTCCAATACCAAAAACAAAAGTTAACCAGACAACGAAAAGAAAATCTAGGAACAAACAAAAATCGGAAATTCTTACTAGCACTCCTATCAAAACAAAACTAGAAGGAGCTGAACAGAAAAAAAGACAACAGAAGAAGCAATCAAAACCAAAGAAAAACTGAAAGATAAGAATATTAAAGGAGTTATTTGCAAATGTTGGGACGGTGAATTACCAATTCCGTAGTCTTCATAGAAATTCAAAAGCAAACAAAAGAGACCGCCAACATCTGAATCATCTGATTAATCAGAAGATGATGCGTCGGATATTTGTGACGACGATGAGCTGGATGATATTGAAGATGATATTGGGCTGAGCTTCGTACCGCCACCTTTGAATCAGCCAGGGAAACTAACCGAAGTTTGTGGTATTTGCGGTGAATTTGGCAAACAACGAGACAGATGTGTCCTTTACTCAACTTGGAACCATTCCGAATGTATTGACTCAGATACCCCGAAAAATTATAAATGTGACCTATGCTCAAATTAGAAGTTAGTATAATGTTTTTTTTTTATGTTCCATAACTTCAATAAATGTTTTTAAAGTTAGTGTTGGTTTCATCATATACTTAATACTTTTAATACGCACGATTCCCCAACACTTGTGTACCATTACCCGCAACGGCGGGGAATGGTGCGCAAGAGCACTTTGTACTTTCAGCAGTGTTGTACTTTAAATATTTTATTTTTTTCTAAAATTGATTTACGTGCTGAGAGTAAATTAAATAGCACCACCATTACGGTATTTACATTTAAATTATCTACAATGCTATCAATGCTATAACGATTTTAGCTTAAGTCCGCACAGTTCCCCCACTCTCCCTTATACGATTTCCTTTTCCTGTTAGATTTTTTAATCCGCAAGAGACCCCTTTCATAAAGGCTTGTGTTTTAGTTTCGATGGAGGTATCTTGCCAAATTTTTGTTACTGTATGTCCAGTTTCATCTAAAGCTGTTTCTGTCACGTTTTTTTGCAACGAAAATTTAATTGATGTAATATTTTTTGCAGATGAAAATATGATATATTTGTGGGGCTATTTTCTATTTCTGAGTGTAGGAATTTCATTTCGAAAGAAAATAGAATGTACCATTATTTGCTTTATTACATTTTTTACCCAAGTTTCAATAAAGGTCTTGTTTCTTCCTGGGGGCTTTTAAGGATGTGAGACTTCTCCAATAACCGTATCTTCTTTAATAATGTTATACACTGTCCGCTTAGATACTTCAGTTTAGGTCTTACATTTAGTGGCTATTTCATCTACAGAAATTAAAACAAAGTCTTTTCGAAGATTATTAAATAGATTAAGTATGCTATTTGTTTTTTCTAAGGAAAATGCTTTATGTCCACTAGGTCGTTTACGCGTACTTGTGCTTGCAATATTTTCTAGTGCACTCACCATTTTCATATAACTGTAAAATTATAATATATAGGTACTAATAAAAAACAGTCTTATTAGGTTTTTACTTTCTGAGTTGTTTCTGCATGTCCTGAATAATTTTCGATTTTGAAAATATCAATGTTTGAAAATTGACATTAAAACAATAATTCAACAAAATGTTTTGTATCATTAATTGAATTTCCATCGCCTTTTATTATACCCCAATTTGCCTATCAATACTTTTATCACAATACATATATTTTATATATTTTAAAGTTGAAGAGATGTTATTAATTTTAGTCCTCCCTATAATATGAAAATTATGTAATTATTTAAATCAATCTGATAAAACTTTTACAAAAAATTCCGGTTCGAAGGACCATAAAGAAGCTTGTAAATTCTACAAAGTTATTCTTTCTGCAAACATCTCCAACGTCTAAAAAGTATTATCAGTAACATATTTATGCCTACCTATACAATAGATTTGGGTTTATATTTTTAATTCAAAAGGACTTTTTTAAACACAATTAACGAGTTTAATAATTATGACTATTATATAAAACTAATTTCAAAATTTTATTTGTTATATCATATTAACTTAAGAACTCACATTTTGACTGTAAAAGGCTATAACATCCACAATTCTGTCTCCACAAAGATATGAACCATTGTCTTTGCAATCTCTAAAATGTGTATAGACATGCTTACCGCATAAAAATAGATCGTTGCCCAATACAAACCTAAAAATTATATTCAATTACAATTTCCTTAAGAAATCTTCTTTTATTTTTAGGATGACAAATAATACACCAGGATCAAATCTAAGACTCAAATTTTTTTCAGTTTCCGTCATTTTTTTGTTTGACTAGTTTTACTGTAGAAATTTATGCTTTTAAAATGCACTAAAAATATTCTTATCAAGTTGTATTCATAGTTTAGATGATTGTTAAAAAGTCAAAGAAACTACTCGTATAATTGCAGCTGGTACCTACAGCAAAAACAAACTTCAGTTAGTTACTATTTACGGTAGAAAAAATATAATGTTTAATTCAAATTTCTGAACTGGGAAGATGTACTTAAGGACAGAGTCTCCAAAGGATTTTTGGTCAAATTCTGTACTGCGGGACTGCCTAACCTGTAGTCAAATATTTGGTAAAATAATCTACTCGCCAAAATGAATTATCGATCCGTTGAATTTGTTATTTGCTACTCAAGGAGTTCTTAGCGTAGAATCATTTCTATCTGGATACGGAAACGAGGAAAGATCAATATTTTAGTACCAAAAAAAATAATATATTCATATTATTTATTTTATTTAAATAGTAATTACAAAGCAATAAGTAATTATATAATTTTTTTTTTTATTTTTTAAAAACGAGTTTTTTTTATTTGTATTTATTAATTCTATATACCTACATACTGATTGCTAGAGCCATGTTTTCAAAAAAAGATAAATTTCATTTTTTAAAATAGGGAGAACATTTATAATCACCTATAATTAAATGACCGATTTTTGCTTTAGCTGAAAACGAAATATTTAGATTTGTAAAAATGATATATATAAATTAATACCATTAATAAAGGAATGGGCAGAGCTTGGGACTTTGGATTCGGCAATTCGGGTTTAAATCCCATATTGATTTTAAAAGAATTTTTAACTCCATAAGATAGAAAAACAAATTGCTCTCATTTTCATTGTTTTACAATATAGGAAATATAAGATACAAATTTATGTGCAATATGGGTTCCTAGGTGCCTCACCTGATGGTAAGCGATAATTATTTACGTATTATAACAATAGTTTAATAACTTTTTCTATTTTTTTAGGTTTAATTAATTCTGATGAACTTGTCGAGGTTAAATGTTTTTTAAAAGTAGTCACATCTAATCTTTCATTGAGAGAGGCCGTAGAGAAAAAAATGGTTCCCTGTTTAAGAATTGAAAATGGTGAAATTCGTTTAAAGGAAAACCACAATTACTATTATCAGGTGAGATTTCTGACTACATTTCAAAGTAATTTAATGAAAGCTATATTTTCTAACAAATTAAAAATTATTATGTTTTTAGATTCAAGGACAACTCGGTACCTCACGAAGAAGAATGAGCCATTTTATAGTTTATGTAGGAGATGAGAATCCTCTTTTTATTAAAAAAGTATATTTTGATGATTTTTTTTTAAATCTAATGGAGAAATTGAGAGTTTTTATGAGGATTGTGTGGGCCCGGAAATAATTTTGAATAGAAGAGGTAGAAAATTAAAGTGCAGAGATCTGCCGAAGAGTAAATAAATTATGTATTATCTTTTTAAAATTAATAAAAATGTTTTTGTTTTAAGTTTTTTGATTTTATTTAATTTACTTATTTATACAAAATTTCGTGAAATACAGGTACCTAGCTAATCTGCTAATATTGTATATCTAATTTATTTTGATTTGTTTTGAAATTCTATATATTTAACTCATTAAAACTAAAAGTTTTATTTATTTTCAACACTTTAAAATTTTAACACATTCGATTATGAAGTTACCTACGTGAAGATTATCTTTTTCTATATCGTTGATGTAATTTTTTGTTATTTACTCATATACTATCCCGTTGGGATAGGAAAGTAAAAAAATAATAGTTATATAAACTATCCTATCGGGATTATTTTTTCAGAAGCAAGTGATCTAATTTAGGTGTTTCTATTTTATCTCTATTATAATATCTATATACTACAGTAACGAAAATGAATAGAGCTGTCGATACCGAATATTAACTACCACAACATAAAAAGACTACTATTGTTACTATCGCTGTTGTATGCTCGACTGTAAATTAATATCACACATTCTATATTCTTTTTGTCATTTTATTAACTCGTTTTAGTGTAATTATTTTTTTTTAAATACTACAATATATTAAAAAAAAAGAAAACATTTGATGTTATCAAATTTTAATTCGTTTTTACGCTGCAAAAGCATAAACGAAATGTAATATCTTTTCAATCCATCTATGGAAGCAGAGATGAACTAATTATTGATTATTTTTGAAAAGTGAGGACGCCATTTTTAGTCAAAAATTTTTTTAATCATGGATTACACATAAAATGCAACCCAATTTTCATTTATAACTATTTAGGAGGTCTGAGCCTTTCGTATTTTCCGATTAAACGATTTGATAGGAAAATGTTTAACTTAGGTGGTTCAAGGTTTCATTTTCAGAAAATTTATTGAATTTGTAGTTTATTCTTACAATGAAAAAGGTCTAAAAATAGGCTATTTTCTACTACACATTTTTAATTAAAAACAATTAATTTAAAAAAAATCAATGCCTGAACCACATAAGTTGGACCTTTATCTACAATTAAAAAAAAAATAGTACGATATACGGTATAATTACGGAAATAGTTACAATTAACTTTTGGTCGGCACACGCCATTCTAATGTATAAGGAATATAAGGATACTCTGTCCTTAATACCTATTATAAAATAATAGAATCATTAATTCGAAATGATTTCTACTTATCGAAATCAAGATATATTTAAGTGGGCATCAAATCATTATTAAATTAAAACTTAACTATAGGTACCTACTCTGTATATTATAATAAATAGGTAGGAACATGGAAACATTTGGTAAGTATATTGATTTATTCAGTAAATTAAATGAGTTGAGCGGAAATATTTTGAAAACTTTTAGATTTTAAAATAAATAGAATTTATCCTGAAAAATATTTGAGTTGCACACAACTATACCGGGTGTCCTAGAATATGTGGACAATCTCCCGGATTCAGATACACAGAAAAATAATATGACAAGTTTCTTATTTAAAAACAAAAGATTTTCAGTGGTGCCCATTATGGAACCATATCTCCGAAAAGAAGGGTCGTAGGAAACTTCTCATATTATTTTTATGTGTTTTTGAATCCGGGACATTGCCCACATATTCTGGGACGTTCTGTATACATTGCTGACAAGATATATTTTCCTATTTAATATTTGACCGATTTTAGAGATCAATAATTATATACCTACAGGAAAATAAATATTTTTCTACTTACATTGTGTTAATTGATTCTGTCATGCTAGAATCAAAGGTTAAGAAAAGTTTTCCTTTTTTTGTAAATCCCCTAACTTCATTACCAGCAGCTATAAAGACTTTATCATGAGGAGTACCTAAAAGTAAAGCATTCATTATAATTTCCATTCTTTTGTTTGACTTGAAATTAATAAATTGTTTATTTTGAAAATAATAAAGATTTTATATATGACGGTAAAGCAATAAAAAAACAAATTATATCGGAAAACGTAAGGGGGAGTCCATTAATTACGTGAGGTATTTTTGAGGATTTTTGACCCCCCTCCCCCGCTTGTGAGATTTCATAAGATTTTCCTCAACTCTCTCCCCCTCCCTTAATCTCACGTGAGATTTTTTAAAATTTGTGTTTTGGGTGTAAATGCGTTGGATTATTAAGAAAAAACACAATATGTTCTATTACTTTTATTTAAGACTAACAAAGGCTAGTATTTGAGAATATTGCCGTAATAAAAAATTTAGAGAAACATTCTTTACTTTAATTTAACTTTCACGCAATTTTACACCGTTTTCTACTAGAAAAAAAATGACGTCAGATTTACAGAGACCTCTTCTCCCCCAAGTGAGATTTGGAAAGATTAAGCTTGATCCCCTCCTCCCTTGAACACCTCACGTAATTAATGGACGCTCCCTAATCATCAGAAGAAAAAAAAACAACTTTCCATGCCAAACTAATGGCCATACAATATTGTACAAGAGAAATAATAAACTAGCAAAACAATCAAAACTGTACTGTGGATATATCAATCATCGGCGGATGAAAATTGGACCACTGACTATTTTTTTACAATAATTTTAAAGTAAGAAAAAATGTATAGGAATGGGAAATACCTCGCATATTCTGGGACTTCCTGTATACGCTAAAAGTTCTACTAATTTCTAGAAAATTCAAGACTAGTTTTATTATAATTAAGAATTAATTGTTTAACAACATTACATCTAATATCTATTCAGGTATTTGAAATACTTCCCGAGAGCAATTTTTAAACGATTATTAATAAATTAATATAATAAAAACAGGAAATATTGATTTTTTAAACTAAAAAACTTAAAAAGTTCATTATTGTAACACGCTCCTAACGACTTTAGAATTTACTTGAAATTTCCGAAATTACAAAACCTATTAAGCTATTAAGTAGATAAAAACAAGATTTCTAGTTATATCTAATTGAACGTGAAATAATTATTCTATTAACTTAAACATTTAATACCAATTAAAAAATTAAATAAAAAACCATAATACAATTTTAATTGATTGACTATTAGAGAGGCATAATAATTTTTGTTCAAAGAAAACTGCTGGCGTTATTTCAAGACTAAAATTTTAATAAAAGTTGTTCTTTAATTGCTGCATTACTGAGAAGTTATATTTTTCTACACTCATATGGATATTAGCTATTCTACGCACACACTACAAAACGAAAAACTATGTCATTGCGTTCAACTCAACGAATATATTTCATATCCATTAATATGAAATCTACCAATCACAGTTCATATTTTGGTAACCTCGCTACTAATTGTCAGTATATTTTTTAGTTATTAAGATTCAATGTACATCAAAATGAGTTATTCTTGTGTAGAATCGACAAATAATAGTATTTCTATTTTAATATTATCTATATTTACAAATAAATAATAAATTTTAATAAAACTATATGAAATTAATTTAATTACAAGTATTGAAAATAAAATTTTAGGTGTGTCGATTGAGCTGAGACTAGCGGGTTTGGCTGTCATACGAGAGGTCTCAGGTTCAAATCTAGAATTGGAGACAAATTAAATTAAATCTTTTTTTTTTCAAGTTTATTTTATAAATATTAGTAATAAAAGTTATAAATTATTTTTAAATTATTTATTTTATCTTAATAAGCTAAAATATTTTTTAAATTTGTAGATTTTCCTTAGTGGGTCGTAGAAAAAATATACCGTACAGCTTGAGTAAATTGTCCGTGTCATACTCAGACGATTGAGCACTCCGTCGTGCTCAAACTTCGTCTTCGTGCGATACGGACGTCATATCCACTCTTTTTAAACAAACTACCATTTAACACAAATGAAAAAATTACCTAGCGCTCCTGCTGTTTTCACGGACACTATTGGCTGACCCGGTAGGGTTTTGAAATGAATTTGAATGTCATCTTTTTTCACAGAAAATACTTGTAAAATTCCATCAACGTCTGCAATAGCCACCTAAAATATTCCAATAATTTTATTTCTTGTATACCTTGTAATTAGTATTTAATGTCTCACGTATATAAACGTTACTCATAACACGCGGCCGGTTTTTTTAACTTAAAGTCAAATTTTGAAAATTAGCATCCACAAAAATTTGAAGCAAAAAAGGAGTTATGTGAAACCCGCGTGCGAATATTTTTTACAATACTTTATCTCTCGATGAAGGTAAACTTGCATTAGGGGTGCTTTTGGACCTTTTGAAAGCATGCAACTGTGAACACCACCACTTAAAAATGGCAAAAATAGTAATTATTACTGGTTCCAGTCTTATTTTTTGAGTAATCGTCTCCAAAAGGGAAATATGTATTACTACAAATTCTATACCAATCATGTTTCGTATTCGAAACTAATTGCAATAGGAGTTCTGCAAGGCAGTGTGCTTGAACCAATTTTGTTTTTATTATATGTTAACAATGTCGGATAATTAAGTGCACGTGGCAACACCGCAAAGAGACAATCATAAGATTTTGCGTTATAAGCAATGATGTAAGACGTGTTTAGTTGTTCGAAGTTTTTGATTACCAGAAATTGAAGTTATTAGAGTCCATTTTGATTATTTTATGCTTTAAACTAAGTTTTTAAGGGATGGGTGGCTCAGTGGTAGAGTCTCTGCCTGTGGATCCAAGGGTCCCAGGTTCGAATCCCACCGTTGGCCGGGATTTTTTTATTTAATTTAATTATTTAAAATTAAGTCTGATGCCTTGGTAGGATTCCCCACTCGACCATTCACTGTTAGGTTCTAATTAACAGTGCTGTTCCTAAAGTGGCGCTGGGAAACAGTAACAAAGCCTACACAGAACACGAGGCTAATGGCCTTAGCAGTCGATGCCGATGACACCAAATTAAAAAAAATAAAAAATAAAAAAAAAACTAAGTTTACGTTACATCATCCATAACACACCATCTAACCGTTTTTCTAAATGATCCTAATATAACATTATCAAACTATGGAACCGACACCAATTTACTGGTGGTTGAGAAGGATTATAATTTTGTTAGAGATAAAACTGTTTGTATCGTTTCCATAATTTTAAAATAAAATTCAATGTGTACTGTTTAGACTGTGGTTTAGACACAATCGTAATGAAACACTATAATCAGTGCTAGTACTCTAATAATTCTGAACCCCTACAGACATGCCTTGTTACTGTTTCCCCTGCGCCACTTCAGGAACAACACTGTTAATTAGAACTATCAGTGAATGGTCGAAGTGGGGAATCCACCATTACGCATCAAAATTACATCCCTAAAGTGAAAATAAACCAAAGAAAAATTGCAAAGCCCGAGAAATAAAGAATACATCGACCTGGGATCGAACCTTGAATCTTCCGAGTAGAGCCATCGGCGGCTCTACCAGTTGGGCCATCGAATCACATGGCTGCCACATTCGAACTAAAAGATTACGATTACAATCGTTATTCGTTTATTAGATATATCCTGGACGAATTAGTATGGGACATACTGTAGAGTAAATTGTTTTGTAATGAATCACATATCTAAGTACTTACCCGTTGTGTTTCTTTTACACCACCATTACCTGGCAAAAGTTGTAAACAATTAGGATTCGTTATACCAACTATGGTATAATCTACTCTTGTTAGTTCTAAATCAGACATTTTGTCATAAATTTGAACACAAAGTATACCAATATTAAAAGTATTATTGTTGAACGTTTGTGAAAAATGTTCAATCAATATTTCCCCAGCAACCGCTGGAAATGGATGTATACAAACACAATCCATACCCAGAAGGTTAGTAAGTTGTTACTGATAGAAAAGCACCAAATTAATAATTGAGACTTACTACAATGTGTGCCATAAAGTTATTGGATCCATTTGGGAACTTGTTTGAAATTACGACTGAAAAAAATGTCGTAGGCAATCATCTCTGCTTATTTATTATCTTCTAAGCTTTTTCAATGAATGTAAAATTGTCAGTTACGGGGGTGTATCGTAATATCTCGTTTAAAATCTGTATGTCGACGAAAAATGTCATTAGAAATAAGTTTATCTAATACCTTTTTCATATTTCAAAAAGGCCATATTTAAAAGATTTTTTAAAAAATTTCCGATTTGACAGATAATGTTAGTAGAAAACTAAGTTTTTTAATAAACAGAGGTGATTGGCCTACTTTATAGTGCAAACTGTATAATTGCTAAAAATGAATGTCTTTTAGTAATACTGTGTTTTTGAATCTTAGACGAAGTTTCTTGTACTTTCCAAAAAAGAAACTAAATAAAACAAAATTTTTATTGGAAAATATGTTCATGTATCCTTCTATAATACGAGTATTATACTCTTCGCACAGTAGTCTGTCAAGAGTATTATAGGTTTACTTTCGAGAAACCAGAATCTTTAATATTGATCCAAATTTAAGAAAAATTTGTACCAAAATCCTTCGCATTCAATTTTAAATAACTTATAATAATTTTAAGTCAAAAAATGATAATAACTTGACATTTTTAGCCAAAATCAAGATCTATAAGGGGACGAAGCTTATTGATTAAAAAAAAATTAAAAAATAGGGGTGAAGGGGGTTGAAATAAAAAAAAATCCTAATTAAAAAACGAAAAATGATATCAACTTGAAATTTTTAGTAAAAATCAAGCTCTATAAAGGGTCGAAGCCTATTGATTTTGACATAATCTGATTAAAAATGGATGGCTAAGAGGGTTAAAATTAAAAGGAATCCTAAAATGAAAACGAAAAGCAATATCAACATGAAATTTTTAGTAGGTTCTACAAGGTTCTAGAAGGAGATGGAGGTTGAAATTGAAACAAAAATCCTTTCTCAGAAAATAAAATACACCAACTTGAACTCTTCAGGAAAAATCAAGTTTCATAAGGGCTTATTGAATCTGATTAAAAATGGAGGTTTATGGGGGCCGGTCTGTTAAATTGTGAAGAGTATAATATAGAATGCCAATCATTATATATCTTCATTCTAGTTAATAATTTATTAGGTAGATGTTTTATTAATTGATCTACTAAAGTTACCAGATAATCTTTTTTTCAGCCATGCAAGTCTGTATTCAAGTTTTGCTATTTGGAATATATTTTTTTCCTACGACCACTTAGGAAAGTGACACATATCACACTATATAGTCCTATGGAAAGTGCCCTATATCACACGCGTATGAATAAGAATTTACTTTCCACCCGTGTGCGAATACGCTACTTTCCGCATCAGCTGTCACAAAATGTTAAACGCATCATTTCTATTTTGATCTATGTAATGTCCATATTAATACTAAAATCAATATGATTGTTAAATTATTGAAATTGTTGTAAATTAGATCCTAGATATTTATCTTTAACAATAATTATTAAAATAATTTTAAAATAACTAAGTTATGTTTGCTTTTTATTCTGTTTAATCACATAACCGATTAGATCATTCAATTGACGCAAGGCCTATTAGCTCAGGTGGTAGAGTATCAAACTTTATCAACTTTGCCATTTGAGACCTGGCGAGCGATCATTTTTTTTTTGTTTTTTAGTTTTTTTTTGTTTAGAAAATATGAAAATTAAATAAATACGATTATTATTGATTGTTTTTTTAAATTCATTATATTTATTATAATATAAACCTCGTTTTACATTTCCGCATCAGCTATCACATACTGTCAAAGGCATCATTTCTATTTTGATTTATGTATTAACAGTAAAATCGATATGACGATTAAATTATTAAAATTGACGATTAAGTTAGATCCTAGATATTTATTTTTAACAATTATTAAAATAATTTTAAAATAACTACATACATCTCATTATTTTGGCTTTTTATTTTGTTTAAACTTAAAATCGAATTAAAAATGCATTTAACATAAGACCCATTAGTTCAGGTTGTAGGGTAGTTGCAATTTGAACTTTGGCTTACACGACGGGTCCGCGGGCCCGCGTTCAAAACTTGGTGGTTACAGAATTTTTTTTTGTTTTTTGATTTTTTTGTTTTTTTTTGTTTTTTGTTTTTATTTGTTTTTTTTTGTTTTTTTTTTGTTTTTTTTTTGTTTTTTTTTGTTTTTTTTTTGTTTTTTTTCTTTTTTGTTTATTTTTGTTTTTTTTTTCTTTTTTTTGTTTTTTTTTATTTTTGTTTCGAAATTTTTTTTGATGAAATTATTTTGTGGTCGTAGGAAAAGTATTGTACATCACTCGTGAGGAAAGTGATTTTCCACACTCGTGTGATAGTCGCACTCGGCTTGTGCCTCGTGTGACAATATTTCCCACTCGTGTAAAAAATGTCACTTTCCACACTCGTAATGTAATATACTATATCTAATATTTTTCCCAAAATATATTGTTTCATATTTTTTTATTCTATTCTACACTATGTTACTGTCGAGGTTTTTGTTGATTGGTAATTGAATTACAATATATCCATGTTCATAATATCGAAAATATCTCAAAGAAGTTTTCCACAAAAGATATGAAATGGCTTGATCAATTAACTGAAAAATGATACTTATATCTGAACAACTGTAGAAAATTACTGGGCCAAATATTTTAAAGTAAGGAAATTATTATAACTAACGACTGCCCTGCTTAGTTTAGGTACCTAATTAAATTAAATACCTACTTTTTCCATGACACTTTATCCATCCTTGTTTTCAATTCAACAAAATATGGTATTTATGATTTAATTGATTCTTCACGAAGGTTTGTGGATTCTTATTCTGCTGTCCAAAAGGTTCAGACATAGGTTAACTATAAAATCCTATAAAAAAATAAGATTAATAGATTAATAAGATTAATAAACCTATACAGAGTGGAACAGTCAAATTGAATAAATTCGGTAATAAATAAATGGAAGCTTGTTCGGAAAAACGCTCGGACACGCCGCGCCGTTTGGTATTTTTAGTTGCGCATTTTTTTCAATAAAAACTTTTTATACAGGATGTGTCATATAACACGACTATAACACTGACAACTACTGTCATGCAGTTAGATATCAATTTGATAAGGTCAGGCGTTTTAAACAAAAGTAAACATTTAATTAAGTAAAGCATTTTTTATTTCATATCAGTAAAAATCTGATGTGTCCAACACATAACTTTCCTATCTAGTTATTATAGGCTTTTTCCGGTTATTTTGTACAACCTATTGCAGCATCTCTATAAATGTTTAGAGGATAAACTAAATATATACATTTTCCACATACATCTAACTCGAAACATTTTTCTATAGATATTCATTGAAAACAAAAATACTGAAAATTTTAAATTTAGCACTTTTCCTCCAATTTTTCCATTACGGTCCATTTTAGAAAAATCATGTAAAAACAAAAATTATAGAGATCGATATCGCAAACAACATTTAGTTTAACAATTTTCTTAAAAATCAGAATTTTGGTACATTTTGTCAAATTACTCGAATTTTTTTTATAAAACAAAAATTATAAAGAATAATATAAGAATTAACTTTCATTTTCTTCTCCAAACAAAAATAACTAATATATTTCAAAAAATATAAAAACGACCCTCTATAAAGTACACCCCAGATGTTCCGACTTCGCCCAAAATCTATTCAGTTCACCTCAGGCCGGAATAAAGCTTAAGTTTAATTTAATGTGTTTTCTTTATCCGTTTTTGAGTTTTCTTTAAAATTCGAAATTAACACTTTTTCTCAAATATCTCCAATACGGTCCATTTTAGAGATATTATATGTAAAGCAAAAATTATAGATATCTCGAACAACTTTTATTCAAACAATTTTTATAAAAAAATATTTTTTTACATTTTCTCAAATTTCTCGAATACGGATCATTTTAGGAAAATTTTGTATGGAACAAAAATTATAGATAATAATATTATAAGTAACTTTTATTTGAAGAATTTTCTTTTCCAAACGTAAATAACAGATATATTCCATAAAATATAAAAACGGCCTCCCATAAAGTACCCCCCAGATGTTCGACTTTGTCCAAAATCTAATCATGTCACCTCAGGTCGAAACAAAACCTAAGTTTAAAATTCAATCTTTTTTCTTTTATCCGGGTTTTCTTCAAAAATCAAATTTTACACATTTTCACAAATATCTGGAATACGGTCCATTATAGAGAAATTATGTATGAAAATAAAATTATAGACAATTATATTACAAACAACTTTTATTTAATAAATTTTTATAAAAAAATATTTTTTTTACATTTTGTCAAATTTCTCGATTACGGACCATTTTAGGAAAACTTTGTATACAACAATAATAATATTGTAAATAACTTTCATTTAAAGACTTTTCTTCTCCAAACATAAATAACAGATATAGTCCTTAAAATATAAAAATGATCACCCATAAAGTACCCCCCAGATGTTCCGACTCTGCCCAAAATCTAATCAGTTCACTGAAAGCCGTAGCAAAGCTTAAGTTTAAAATTTGGTGTTTTTCTTTGTATCCGTTGATGAGTTATCGAGGAACACACACACACACACACACACACACACACACACACACACACACACACACACACACACACACACACACACACACACACACACACACACACACACACACACACACACACACACACACACACACACACACACACACACACACACACACACACACACACACACACACACACACACACACACACACACACACACACACACACACACACACACACACACACACACACACACACACACACACACACACACACACACACACACACACACACACACACACACACACACACACACACACACACACACACACACACACACACACACACACACACACACACACACACACACACACACACACACACACACACACACACACACACACACACACACACACACACACACACACACACACACACACACACACACACACACACACACACACACACACACACACACACAC